AGTTTACGTGCATTTCTAGTTTATTTCCGGTTAAGACACCCAAATGTGAAATTAATACGAGACGTTCTGTTTTGTCAAGATGGTGATAATAGATCATTGAAATAATAGAACATGTGAATTGACGAATATTATATGATGTCAAAGCAACATGCACTATATTAGATTTCAGAAATCACCCGAAATTTCTTTTTTGTATTACCTACCATTCATGAAATTTGTGCTTCAGATGAACCATATTACCCTAAGCTGTGTGGAGCTTATATTATACATTCATAAACACTATCACATATATCTGATCAAGTGTAATTGTTCCTAGTTCGTTCTAAAGATTATCAAGCAGAAAAATAGTAGGATTTCTTGTCTTTAATTTTTGTCCCTTCTGAAAAAGCTGAAACTTTTTAGTTTTAGTTTTATATATTCCAATCACTGGGATTAATTTTCTCTGCAGCCTTTCCATTTGAAGTCGAATGTAACGATTCTCATTAATCGTGTGAAAATAGTCACTTTCCATGTATTCATTATCAACTCATGCCAGAAACTTGTGGGTTTTATTAATTTGTTGATGATTAACTGCTCAAGCCCCGCCACTAACATTGCTTCATTTGTTTCTTTTCCCAGGTTCAGCCTTTCGACTTTATTCTTCGCTCATCGTAAGCCAACCAATATTTCAAACTCCAACTACAGTACAGTACAATTTTTTTTAAAAAAAAAAACAAAACAAAACAATTTTAAGTTGTTGATTTCTCTTTATCTCAAAATTCCAGGAGAGACTACTGTGAGCACACTCGGGCGTCTTGTGCTCATTATATGGCTCTTTGTGGTCCTCATTATCAACTCGAGCTACACTGCAAGCCTGACCTCCATCCTCACTGTACAACAACTTTATTCCCCCATAAAAGGGATCGAGTCCTTGAAGAGAGGAGATGACCCTATTGGGTTTCAAGTGGGCTCCTTTGCCGAGCATTATCTGACAGAGGGTATTGGCATACCAAAATCGAGACTGAAAGCTCTTGGGTCGCCCGAGGAGTATGCTAGGGCACTTCAGTTGGGCCCCAAAAAGGGAGGTGTTGCGGCCGTGGTTGATGAACGGCCGTATGTCGAGCTTTTCTTGGCAAGCCAGTGCAAGTTCAGGATTATTGGACAGGAGTTCACAAAAAGTGGATGGGGTTTTGTGAGTAAACATTTTCTTACTTTATTTATTTATTTATTTTTTTCTCCTACATCAGAAAAAAAAAAAAGAAAAAGAAAAAAAAGTGCTATTTGACAAAAACTAGCTTTTGATGCATACATACATCCTACTTGTTTCACTTCTCATGAAGTATAGAATTATTGACTTGGTGTATTTAGAAAACTACAGCTTAGTTCTGAGTAATTGCTAAAAAAGCCATAAATTTCATAATCACAAAAGAAAAAAGTTTGATTTGGTACAAGTTATCAAAAAATTTGTAGTCCTAGTCCTTATTGACAATTTTCTCTGGATCATTGATTCACCAAAAAGGCATTTCCCCGGGACTCTCCCCTGGCCATCGACCTATCGACCGCAATACTAACCCTATCAGAAAACGGTGACCTCCAAAGGATTCACGACAAGTGGCTCACGATGAGCTCTTGCAGTTCGGACAACACCGAGCTCGAGTCGGACCGTCTTCACCTCAAGAGCTTCTGGGGCCTCTACCTCCTTTGCGGCCTGGCCTGTGTTGTAGCCCTTTTCATATACTTTCTGCAAATTGTCCGGAAATTTCGTGAGGCCGCGTCGGGAGAGTGCGTTTCAAGCGGGCCCTCCGGCAGCTCACGCTCCAAACGACTCCAGACATTGATCTCGTTGATTGATGAGAAGGAGGATCTGTCGAGGAGGGAGCGGAAGAGGAGGAAGCTTGAGGAGAAGATGTTAACCGAAAACGGGAGAGGAGAAGATGACGTGGAGAGGGCTTCCAAGAGGAAGCATTTCAAGGAGTCGGGCTTCGGGGAATGATTATTATAGTCTTGGAAGTTGACAAGTATACAGTGCAAGAAGTGTTTTTTGGTGTTGTTTACTGTGTTGGGTTCATGGATAAGGTTGACAAAGTATACAATGTAATAAGTGTTGTTGTTGTTTGCCATGAGAAGCATAGTGTATGATAGAGAGGAAATTGTTGTTCAGAAATCTTGAATGAGAGAAAATTGTACTTAGTAAGAAGTTTAGAGTAATTTGTTGGTTGGTTTTCATGAATCATCTCATAGAGTAATTTATGTAACTTA